AGCAATCTTACCAAGTCTAGGAAAATCCAGATATGTTAAATGACTATTTTCAGAATTTCCAGATATATTAAATGATTATTTCCAGTCTGTTGTTTTCCCTTGCAAAGAATCAAGAAAATTGCATTCTAGAAAACCAGATTGGAGAATATGGATTTATACAATCTGAAGCTTGGTTTTTTTGCCAATATGTCTTCCTAGACATTATCTTTTTAATTCACTGTTTCATAACGTAATTCTAATCCAATCAGAACTCTATAGATACCAACATTTATCATGTTTTTATATCAAGGGCTTATGTTTATCCAGTGGAAACTAAATTAATTTTTTTAATTTAGTAAAAGTCGAATTACAGATTTGATCAAAATAGCATTTCGGTACATTAAAACAAATTTTGGTTTTTATGATGCCACTTTCCATTTTAAAAAGACTCTTAATTCCATTTTGTTCATTTAATATATATTCTTGTGTGGCAGTGAAGTCTAATTAACACTGTAAATGAAATCCTGTTATATATCTTCACATTTCACAAACTTCCATACCTTGAGTTGAGGCTGATCGATTCTTCCAAAACTGGTGCCAACATTCTGTCAATCAATTACTTAATTTGATTGTCAAGGCCAGAAAGACAGATGCCTTTTTATCCCCACCTGGAATATATATATATATACATATATTATCAGTTTTTTATGGCCTCTGATGCATAATAAGTTGCTCACTCTGTTATCTTTGCCTGACACATTAAGCAATGCACTGAACTCTTTTTTGCAAAAAGCTGATGAATATACTATTCACCTGTATGAGTTACTCTTCGGTGACTGTGAATAACCTAGATATCTACAAAAATTAATTAGGTTGTTTATCTTTTTTTATTTTTAAAAGTAATAAAAATAGTTAGACTAGATTTTGATCAAAGTTAGGTGAATTGGAAAGACATGAATTAAATGGCATTTACTAAAGTTTATGAAAGTTTAATTATATTTTATTTAAAGAATCTTAGAAATAAACATCACTTCTGAATGAGAAAAAAACATTAAATAATATGCCCACTGCTAGAATTGCAATTATTATAGTAACTTTTAAATAGTAACTTTTAAAAAAGAATGACATTTCGAAGCATAATTTCTATTAGTGTTGTTCTGAGTGCTAGAAGTAAAATTATTATTTTAGTATCAGATCGTCCTATCCACAGTTATATCATAAAAGAGATATTATGGGCATTTTTAGACAGGTTTCCTTGTTATTAAAACTTACTAGTACATACTTTTCCAAGCTCATAAAATGTTGAGCAATATTTGTTTAAACATTTCTAACAACAATAGCTTAATATTGATTATTTTTAAAAAAATAGTTGCTCAAAACATTTAAAAGCATCTGTTCTGTAAAAAAAAACCTGCAGGATGCAATATACTTGGCAGTTTATGTTATATCAATTTTTTTTTTCTTGGAGTTCTGTATCATTGTCAAGAGGCTCACCAAAGTAAGAATTGTCCCTTTTGTTTGTCAACACTTGCTATAACTACTTTCAAGTTGATTGCCTGGTGATGTAGAAGGATATAAAATACTTAAGCTTCTAAGTGAGACCTAATTTACAAAGCTTGTATATTGTATGCAGTTGGGTCATAGATTTCTTTTCAAACACAGAAACCCCACCCCCCACATATTTAGACAACTTTAATTTTGAAGACAAAGTGAAAATATATTGAGTTGGAAATAATCCTCCATGGTTTATAGAATCAACTTTTATAGTTTTGCGTATATTTTGTTTTGGTTGACCAATTGGCATTCAGAGCTGCTAAGGAAATCACAAGAGAAAAGAAGGTCGAGTAAGCACAATAGTCAGTGATATATTTCTAGCCATTGAAGCACAGTTACAAAGCATTGATCACAAGGCCCTACAGATCTGACAAGGCTGTGACCTTCCAAATAGTATTCAACTATATGGGACAATGACACAGTTGCACTGGGTATCTGGAATAGTGTTTGTCTTGAAGACTAAAGTATATGTGAAATCCCTTCTAGTAAATATTAATATTCCAATAAATCCACAGTTAGAAATCACGTTAAGATCTAGAGACTATTCTATAAATGCACTAATAATTATTGTGATGGCTAAAGATATAATTTACTTGTTACAATAATTACTTCCAGGCTACATCCAAAATACAATAAACTATTCCCTGGATCTTTCCAGGCTATATCCAAGATGCAGGGAATAGTATATTGTACTTTTATTGTATTTTTTGTTGGTTTGTTTGTTTTGTCACCTAGTCAGCCAGTTGTTCAGATTGGATCTGGCATTGTTGTCCACCCAGGACTTGGGATTGGCAGATGTTCTTTGATAGTGTTAAAGGCATCATCTGAAGATGTAAGCTGTGTCAAGTAAAGCTGGCTTTTGCAATTGACTGAAGTTAAATTTGTCCATGTCTAGAATGTTCATGTGATGCTCCAGCTGTTTTGGGATTGTATTGGTATTAACTTTGCTTCCTTATGGCATAGTTGTTCCATTTTTTTTTAATGTATCTTTTTCTAGTGTCTATCATAGCATCTTTCTCTGGCCATTTCTTTCTATCTAAGAATGACCACCTGATCATTGACAGAAAGGACATTTTTAAAATAGAAAAAAATAATAAAGGAAAAGAAAAAATAATAGATAAATATTTGTAAGTGATCCATCCATCATCCAAGCCATGTTGATTCCAAAAAGGGTTGTTCCTTCAGCCTGCATTCCCTGTAACCCATCCAATTTTCTTCACGAGTGATATAAAACAAACAGGAGGAAACAGTTGCAATTGGCACCAGCAGTTACTGTCAGATTAGAATAGCTACAACTCTAACAGCCCATGTAAACATCTACCAAGAATGCACCCTGCCTACAAAGATGTTAGCATCTTAAGTGCATTGGGCTCAAAATATTCACTGGCATGCCTCTACTCATTTCAAGAGAGCAATATAACTTGTGAAAATGAAAATTTAATGAGGGAAACAGCCATAAGACAATGCACAAGCCTTCTAGGGCTGCCCGTGAATAATTGTCAGTAATATGGTATTATGCCTATCTAAATAAAATAAAATCAGCGGACAGTAACATTCTATTTATTCTAGGTGTGAAAAAAAGAGCTTTAAAATGAAGAATGGAAACATTGACAATTTATTGGAGTTGCTGTGAGACACATATATAAACTGATTTTATACATCAATGCCTAAAGCATAAAATGTTTAGGTTTAAAAAGCTGCACAGAGAAATCACCTTCTAGAAAAAAAAATGTACATTGTCTTTTTTTAAAAAAAATAATTATTAAAAGCAGAAAATAAAAAAAATAAACTGCTTATATGACATTGAACATTGCCCCCATTTAATAATAAAGATCAGTAGCAATGTATGGAAAATGGTTCCCTTGAGTTCATTTGCATTTAATTTATTTAGCAAATCTTATAAAATGACATTTTAAATAGCCTCATCTGAAGAAAAGAAAAGCTAAAAAGAGAGAGCAGAAATGAGCTCAAGAGATCTTTCATAAACATTCATTAATGATCATTTCTGATAATATTGTTTGCTAAAGTTTTAATATACAATTCATTCTTTAAGTTGCAGAAACTATTTTAATATCCTAGATATTAGATGTTAAACCTGATGCATCCTGTGCTGTAGAAGCTCTTCTGGTTAAGTTACACACTTTGCTTTTACTTCTTTCTAGAAACCAGTTCAAATCCTGATTTTACTGCCCCAGCCTAGAGTTTTCAAGATACTAGCCCTTGAATTAGTATATATAAACTCTTTCTTTCTTATTTAGAGATGAGCCCATGTTTCTCTCATGTTTTGCTGACTGCCGGCTGCCAGCAGTTTGAGTCTCACTGGCTCAAGGTTTCCATCCTTCCGAGGTAAGTAAAATGAGGACCCAAATTTTTTTGGGGGGGGGCTGACTCTATAAACTGCCTAGAGAGGGCTATAAAGCACTGTGAAGCAGTATATAAATCTAAGTGCTATTGCTGTTGCTATGTCGAAAGCTATTCCAAATATGGAATCCCAGTACCATTAAACAATTTGTATGGCTGCCACCCTGATAATTTTTGAAAAGTCTTAAAAAACATGGTTTTGCTCCCAGGTCTGGAGGTAGGAGTTACTGAGCTCCACCATTTTTTTTCTTAGTCTGTTACGTTTATTCCTTTGAATATTTATAATCTTTCTTCCCCCTCCCCTTACTTTCAAAATGTTGGTGGCCTCTAACTTTAGTAACTGTTCAGATATTCTTCATGGTTCCTATCACAAAACAGAACCCAATGACTGAATTGTTGGCCTTGGGGTCCTGGGCAATGGTCTACAGAAGTTAAAACAGAAGCTGAAGATAACTAAGATGTTGATTATAGTTTATATATCATGTCAACTATAATATCTGGGAACATTAGGTTGAAGTCTCTGCCCTGGGTTAATATATCTAAGTTTATAAAATTACAGATTGTTTCAAGAGATATTTGTTAGCAGTTGAATAGATGCAGCAGGCCAATAAACATATTCCTACTAAATGCTTATGCACCCTCAGTTTTTACCTACAGTATTATATTTTATGCATATCTAGAATTTGACCAGAAGGTTGCAGAGGAGAGCAGAAATAAGAGTCATCTGACTATACCCTTATATTTCCTGATTGATGTCAGGTCTAAAAACCAAGAAAGATACATGGTGATTCTTCTAAACAGATTTCTTTATTATTCCACACCTATAGAAAGAATCTTGCCAAACTGAAGCACTCTACTGTTGATATCAAACATATATTCTGAGAACCATTAGGGAGAGGTTGTCTTCACCCTCTTTCTCTCACATAAACTACCTAAACTAAGTTGCCTCTTATTCCCCTGGAATGCACCACCACCCTCCTGGGAATCCAATCTATGACATTATATCACATCAAAGACCTATTCAAAGATTTGCTTATTGTAATCAAATCCCTCCCCCCATTTCAACCCAGCAAATATTAAAAGGACCCTGAAAAAGCACATTTTCTCCATTTCAAAGAGAAGAATGACTCCTGGCCTAGTGACATGTGATGCATGTTAAACACAAGTAAGACCTTGAGATGAGCTTATAAAGCATCCATATTTAAACTGCTGTCCTGGATACAATTATGCGAATTTTGCTGAACCACTAGATCTCCAGAGCAGACATGTCTAGGCCTGCTTTGTTATCATTTTAAAAAAGTAAATAAATAAGCTGTCTGGGCCAAATGAGTGCCCTAGCCTTGCATAGATCCCAAAGCGTTAGAAAAAGGTACACAAAAAGGAGAATTATAAAGATGGATAATTAGGATCTCATGTTACTTAATTCTGAAATTGATGTGGATAGAGAATGACAACGTTGTGATAGTTAATTCTGAAATTATCTTGGTGTAAGATTTCATGATTTCACGTGCAAAAGAAAGAAAAGTGTAAGTAATTAAAGTTGTTAAGAAAACCCAACTTCCATACTGTAATATGATTTTTTTATATTCTTATCAACCAGGATCATTAATAAAAAAGCCAAATATATTCCTAATGGAAGATATTTGTCAAAGGTAAGGATTGTTCTTCAGAATTCAGGTGAGAGTAAAACCTATTTTAAATTACCAGGTCTTGTTTGCAAATACATATATCAATTCTAAGCCTGATTAATATC